AGATAAATAGCTCTTAGGCCATTTTTATTTTCATTATTCAATACTTTATTGATGAATAGCTACCTAGCTCTAAACCAGAAGTCCTGGCAGGCTGTGCTTGCAGAAAAGCAGAGTATACTACAGCTGATCTGCTGTAATCAGCAGTGGCTCCAGTAGACTCACCTATACGTTCCTGTGAGCTAAATCCTTTGAGTGCAGCACATGCCCCTAACCATGGAGCTCTGCAAGGCACATCCCAAAAGACTGACTGCCAGTCTTCACTATGAACAAGCCTGTTCCAGCAGCCTCACCCAAATGTAAGAAAGCTGTAGGAAAATATTAAGCCCAATTCTTTACTCTGCAGCATCTCCATGTATGTGTGAGGATGGTCATCTGGCAGTTCTCCAAAGCGATGCAACAGCATCCTAAAATGAGCACAGCTGAAGAAACTGTCAGCAGCTGTGAGCAGTCCAGCTGACAATTAATCACAAGAAAAGATCAGGCATAATAAGGTAAAGTATAAGTATTATAGCGTAGCTCTCAAGCCACCAAAACAGGTCTTTTCACACAATATAGAACAGATCCTCAGCTGAGGTAATCAATGAAGTCTCCATTACCAGATTGAACTAAAATCAACTAAATTACAGGAAAATACCTATTTACCAGGACCAAGAACTGCAGACATCATTCAAAATTGAGTGGAAGTGAATTAAAACAGCTAAGGAAATTCAACACAGATAAAAGTAAAATGACTCATGTGAGGAGAATATTTTATTAAACTGTAATTATAATTACTGGTCCTAGGTTGACTACTACCAATAAAACATGAGAATTTAATGTTATCTGTATTTTAAGATACATAAAAACACATTGATCACAGGCACTGAAGAACAAAAATTATTAGGAAGTAGAGGACAAACAGAAGTCATCATTATGTGGTTACACGAGATAGTTGCCTTTTAATATGTATGCAGTTCTGATCTTGTTTCAGACAGAATATAGTAAACCTGAAGAGGGTGCGAAGAGGAGCAACAGGAATGGTTGATATGGTGTAAGTGGTTTAGGGGTTACAGAGATAGTGCTGGGTTGATGATTGAACTTAGTGATTTTAAAGGTCTCTTCCAACCTTGATGATTCTATGATTCTATGACAGAGATCATCCAATCTACAGACCCCTGGATATGGACTGTGACCACAATAGGCAGACTACATAGATTAGGACTTTTAATTCAGATGATAGCCATCTATAAAACTGTGGATGGCAAAGTGAGGGTGACTTCTCTTTATCTACTCTAACACAAAAGCTGAGAGGCATCAAACAGAACTAGGAGGTGGCAGATTCAGAATAAAGCAGAGGAGATGCTGCTTCACACTGTGAAAATGTGGGATTTCTTGCCACAAACACTGTGGTAGTATTTGAAAGATGGATAGTTATCTACTTGCCATGCATTTATACTTCTCTTGAGAGAAGTACTGTCAACTATTGGCCACTTTTTTGCACAGGGCTAATTTAAAAAAAAACACTAAAAAAATAAATTAAAAAAACCAACCAACCAAAAACAGACACAAAACCAAAAAACGCCCCCCCCCAAAAAAAAAAAAAAAAAAAAGAAAAAAATATCAAAAAGTGCACAGGGACGTTTCTGGCATTATGTTGTTTCCTTCTCCGTAATTTCTTAAGTAGTCCCCTTCTCCTGTTAGTTCCAGCCATTGCCAGTGTAGAAACATGTGTGTGCAAACATCTGTGTTGGCTTCCCCTTGGCCAAGTGTCTGGTCTGCACAACATTGCAAAATCGGGTCCCCCTTAGTGGTCCATCCAGCACCATGTTTCAAAATGATGAAGTCACTGATTACAGTTAGGAAATGCTCCTGTCAGATACGTAATATTGTGTTGTTTTTTAAAAGCTTTTCATCCTTGATGTGCTGTTATTTGTTCTGTTGATCTTTCCAGTTTTTGTTTGGCAATGGCATCCTTTCAGACCATCTTGGACCACAGTAAAACGTGTGAGAATGATAGGTACCAACAAAAACCAATTTGCATTCTTCCTTGTCAGTCTGGTGGGACAGATTTTCCTGTGCTAGTGGCTGGTAATATATATGTGTTGCAATATCAGTTTTTTTTTTTTTTAAGGGAAGCAAATGCATCTGGTAGATTTTGCACATATATCTGTCTATCTATATACACACTTACCTTCCATTTTCTCTTATACTTTTCTTGAAATTATTTTTGAATCACTGGTTATCAAGATCACACCAGTAGATTTGCTTTCTTTGGTATGCTCAGATTATCTGTGTAGTTACTAGTGTACGGTAAGGTTTCAGTTTTGCTTGTGAATTAACTCTGCAAAAATTAAGTAGTTGCCTGTATTTTTAAACCTAAATTGGGTCCATGGAAATGCAGGTCTTGCATAGGGACAGAGCAGTCTGGATGTTGCTGAACAGTGCTGGGATGGAGCAAGTCATCCGAGCCAGACCAGTCTAACAACCAGAGAGCTACTGAGCCTCTGTGCATCCTCCTTTTGAAGGATTTATATTGCAAGGGCTTTATCAGCTTGTGTACAATATGGCACAAATGCACAGAGCAAGTCTTAATCTAATGCTGAATGAGTCACTAAGCCCTTTCAGAAAACGTACAACTAGCAGCAGCTCACGAGGGTGTAACATTTGCAAAATGTGCAGGCTTTTTCTCCCCACAAATTACCCAAGATTTGTCTGCGTTTCAATGCTGAGTTTAAATCTGGCACGGTGACTCATCTTTCTGAGTGGAGGCTGGGATAGATTTAATAGAAAACAACAGTCAAGTTTGAAAAAAACCAACAATCAAACACACGGAAAAAAAAAAAATCCATAAAAGAAAACACAGAAGGAACAGCAGTGTGAATTTTTTCAGTCTGAGTAAATATAGAAGTCCAGCTGCTGACAGTATCATGCTGAAAGGGTGCAAATGCTGTGCTTTGTCTTTTGAGACTGGCTATCACTAGGAAGGCGAAGGGGTTACAGTTAACAGAGATCACATTCTTCATCTTGAGGCTAAGGCACTTCATTGCGATTTATGGACCAAATACTGCTATGGGAAACTATACCTTGTTCTACAGATTGTTGCTGTAATGATCACCAGCTGCTACAACTGTTCTCCCCACTGCAAACCCTTTGTCTTCATAAATAGCTGTGACTTTGACCACCTTGTTGTCCTGCTCTCCTAGAAGTGTCTCTGTTTTCTTTGACTACATGCATAAATGCCCTTCCATGTCTAACCTACAGTCCTAGAGTTCAGCTTTTTCATGGGAAACACAAGCTGGCTTTAGCTTCAGGAAGGAAACTATCGTAGATATAATGTATTTAAGCAAGGAATTTCTTACCTTGAATTTGGGAAATGTGCAAAATAACCTCACAAAAAAAATATTAGGTTGGAAATATACTCCTGAATTTATTTGGGATGAAAGTCTATTAGAAATGTTTGTAAAGTGTCAGCAAAAATGACAGATGATTTTCATGGGTTTTTTTTCCCTTTATACATAGCATTGTGCCAACTGTTCTCAGCAATATTTGTAAATGTAAACCAAACCTAAGATTTTTCTGGCTAGGTTTCCTCATATCTTTCTTTTATCTTTATCTAGCATCTCCAATCGCATGAACAATCTTCCCTCAGGTTGTTGTTACTGGTGTCCTTATAATTTTCTGATTTTCATTACATATGCTGCCTATAATTTTTTTTTTTCATGGCTAGGCTTCATGAACGAAGATTAAGGAAGGCTCTGTCCACATTTGTTACAAGCACGCTGGTGGCTAATGAGGCCAATACGAGATAGACATATCCGATTGCAAAAGGCACAGCAGAAAGACTCCTTAGGTGGTGTATTCTGCAGGACACAATTCTTTCTGCGTTGTCTTTTCTCCTCGAGAGTGATCCTGCATGCTTTCTCAAAAGCATCAGCAGCGTTATAGATGGTGTGTCTCCAGGACTCCCGATTGGAGGCCAGAGTAGACCAGTTATGATGATCAATATGGCCCAGGCTGAGATATTGTTTCAGGGAGGCTGCCTATAATAACCCTTAACTATATAATAATATTAATCCTTTGAATTATAATAGGCAGTCTTCTGCATTATTTCTCAGAGAGGACTTAATTCTCCTCTCTCTTCCTCCTTCTGTGGTTTACAACATTGCTACAGTAAACACAGGCATACATGACTTTAATTTGATATCATCCTAATGCTACATAGAGTGATCACAAATGTGGACATGTAGTCCAGAACAAAGAAATATGATGAGCAAGTTGTCTTACTATTTTCCTGAACAATCAGTCCCTGGATTGCCTTCAAACACACCTGACTTCAACCTTTGCAATGGCCCATGCAGGGAGTATTCAGGCTGTTTCACTGCAAACAAAGAGTTTGGTTTTAAAACTAGCCTCAGGGATGCCCTGATGCAGTTATAATAGAACTACAGCTCTGGTCCACTTTGGCAGTCAGGATTTAAACCCAGTTTTCTGTGTTCTCCCTGACTAAGTCTTCAAAAAATACTATAGACAAATGTTCTGGCTTCATGAATGGAGCTGATGAGATAGCATTTTACCCATGAAGGCCACGAAGTAAGGTGTTGTAGGGCAGTGCTATGGTCTTAATCCCAGATGAAATGTGAAATTACCAAAATACATAATCTGGGAAGAGCTGAAAAGTCCATATCTCATGGGGGGAAAAAAGAAAAAGAACACTTTATCAAATTCCACACAGTGCAGCACAAGGGCTATTTGCAATTTAGATGGGAAAAAGAAAGTATTCTCCATCTTTGACTAGTCTGATTGTAAATCCCACCCACCAAACACTGCTTCTATTTTATTCCTTGGGAGGTGAGCGAGAGAGAGCTCACTCTGTAGTTTTAGTTCACCCATGATAATGTACATGAAGGAAGGCCCCAGATTGCACATACTATTTCTCTTCCTTCCTGTCCTCTTCCCCCACCCCAAATACCCTCTTAAATCACTACTTTTTTGTTTCAAACAAAAAGGCTGAAAAGGTGAAATTTTAAATAATGATTGAGGATTTTTTTATTCATTTAAGTTTCAATATCATTACAGAAAATGTTATGGTACAGAGTTGTTTAACATTAGTTTTATTTCTTTGCTCTTTTGATTTCCACATGAATGCTGGTAACACTAATATCTGTACAAGATCAGTCTTTGATTTTTTTTAGTTTTTAGTTCTGTACATTTTTAAATGTATTGGTTAAAAAGGCTGTCAGCACTTAAGGAAGCAATTTTTTTGTTTGTTGAAATAAAAGGTATCCAGTTACTGCCCAAGAGTACTGAGCTGGGTGGCTGCTGGGACAAGAGAGATCCCTGAAAGCACAGCGAGGTGAGAAAACCTCGGGGCTTCATTGGGTTCCCAGTGCAGCCACTCTGCTTTTGGCACTGTGCACATCAACACGAGATACAAGATAAAGAACAAGCAGAAGCTCTCTGTGAAGCGGTTATGAAGCATACTAATAAGGGAAATCCAAGTGTTGTCTACGCTAGTATAAATAAGCAGACAGCCTTGTTTTAAGAGCATAAGTAGTTGTATCTTAAAGATGAGAAAAAACACAAGTTCTGCAGGCACCTACTGCTGTCTACTAAAAGCTACCGCTATTAGAACTAGCATTGAACACACAAAGCAATTGCAAGGAAAGGAAAAAGTTGCTTTGATATAATCAGAATAAATTTCTTTGTTAAGATTTGTTTTAAAGTTTTTTTTAAAAGGTATTTATTTAAATTCCATTTGAAATATATTTCAAGATGTTGACTATACTGATCAACTTTTATCCAAATCAGAAAAACTAGCTGTGCCGTTGCATATTACAGGATACAGTCAATGATATGTGGACATGCATCAAAGCTTCGCTCTTGCTGGTGACATCATAGCCTTCCAATGACCATGACATCCACCACCTCCCCCTTGTGAAGCTCCACATACTGCTCTGTCTTTGGAGGTAGCATCAACAGTCCATTGGCACTGCGCATACTCATCAGACGACTGCTCATCTGATTCCCTACAGGAGACAGAGAACAATTTCAGTTAAGTCTTCAGTTAGTTCCAAATGCTGCAACACATCACACAACAAACAAAAGCTGTTATTACGAAGACATTTATGTGGCTAACTTATTCATAGAGCTGAGATCTTCCTGTTCCAAGGTGAATGGAAACAGAGAGCTCTGTGGAGAATTAGTCAGCTTCTCATCGGACTAGCTCTCAAAATCATCACTCCCTTTACTGATTGCTTTCCTATCCAGCCTTCCACATTATCTGTACATGTATCTTGTCCTAGTAAATTGCTTTTCTGTTCGAATTTCTAATCTTATTAAAATTAGTTTTCTACTTGTATACCTAAATCCAGTTGTACAAACATTAAAATCATCACAGTCTAGAATATTTTTAATATATTGTTATAGAATAAGTTTGATTAACTTTATTCTCTCTGATTAGAATCATCTAGATTGGAAAATACCTCCAAGATCATTGAGTCCAACCTTTAACTGAACGCCACCATTTCAACTAAACCACAGCACTAAGTGCCATGTCCAGTCGTTTCTTGAATACCTCCAGGGATGGTGACTCCACTTCCCTGGGCAGTCCATTCCAAGGCTTAACCACCCTTTCAGTGAAGAAATTCTTCCTGATGTCCAACCTGAACCTCCCCTGGTGCAGCTTGAGGCCATTTCCTCTTATCCTGATGCTAGTTGCCTGGGAGAAGAGACCGATTCCCATCTTGCTACAATCTCCTTTCAGTTGTAGCGAGCGATAAGGTCTCCCTTTAGCCTCCTTTTCTCCAGGCTAAACAACTCCAAAGCTGCTTCTCATAGGACTTGTGATCCAGATCCTTCACCAGCTCCATTGCCCTTCTCTGGACATGCTCCAGCACCTCAATGTCTTTCTCATAGTGAGGGGCCCAGAACTGAACACAGGACTCCAGGTGTGGCCTCACCAGTGCTGATACAGGGGGACAATCACTGCCCTGGTCCTGCTGGCCAAACTATTGCTGATACAAACCAGGATGCCATTGGCCTTCTTGGCCACCTGGGCACACTGCTGGCTCACGTTCAGCCAGCTGTTGACTGGCACCCCCAGGTCCTTTTCTGCTGGGCTGCAGAATACTCCTGTTTAGCATCAGTAGCTTAGCACTAGTAGCTAAAATAATTTTCAATAAAATCAATGCTGCTAGCACAGAACTAGCTGAATCTGGCAGATACGAGCAGAATGAAGAAGGTAAGGATCAAGGAATCAATTCCATGAGAATTAGGTAACTTCAGAAAAAGGCCAAGCCAGCAACAAAGAAAACCAATAAGAAATCAAGAGGCCACTGACCAGAATTAAGTGATTGGATTTTGGGATCAAGTGCTGGATGGTACAAGTATAACTGGAGGGTGCAATCTGGTGTAGGAGTCCCTCTCCAGAGACACCCAGCTCAAGCTGTACCCTGAGAACCACCTCAAAAGAACACTGGGCTTCACAACACATCCTGAATATGAACGGTATCATATTGGTTGTACTGACAAAAACAAAAATGCAATAAAAAGTAATTCCCTTTAGTTTCTTAGTTTTCAGACTTCCAGATTGACAGAGAAATTATTCCATATTGTCTGTTTGTATAGGGAAAGAACCGATGCACAACTAAACAGAGGTAAACCAAACACAGCATTGTAGATCTAAGTAATAACTTGACTTATAGCTGGAAATGTGTTGGAGGCTGTGTGATGGAATCAATGGTAAGAGCTTTATCTGCATAAACAGTCAGGAACTAATATTTTCCCTGTGGAGACATATATAGAGCTTTGTATGAAACAATTTGGATGTACCAAAAAGACAATTAGTTGTTTAAGGACCTGAATCTCTTGTGAAACTCAGTCAGCCTTCTAGCAGTACATAGCTAACAAAGTATTTACCTCAACTGCAGCTGAGTATCCTGAAGTATCACTAGGTGGCAAACGACTAATAAGGCCTTGGTTTACTTTAGGAGAACATATACAATCTCTGCTATCTCTTCTACTTTTCCAGTTCAGCTAGAATCACATTTCTGTTATTTATATTATATAAGTTTTAATGGTTAGGTTTGCAAGTCATATCATGACTGAATTTTGTACTAATATACACGTATGGGTGCACAAGTATGCCAGTAAAACAGTCTGCATAACTAAGGTTATATGAAAAAATGCGCCCAGGTTTGGTTGTTTTGAGACATATAGGTAGGAAGGCAAGGACCTCTGTGAGTGTCTGTCAGTCTGTGTGACAGGGCACTAACCTGTACTCTGTGCCCAAGGTAGTGGTTCTTGGTGATGCCAAGTCAGTATACACCGATGATATTCTGGGCGGGGGTCCAATTTTACATCACATGATAACTGCAGAAGAAAAAAAGAAAGGATGAACATGTCATGCATTCACATTGCAGTGTCTAATATAGTGGAACAATCTGTTCAGTTGTTTTTCCTTAAAAAAAACTTGCATTTTGAGGTCAGATGGTATCTAGTGCAAAATTAGAAGATATACAAGGCACAGACTGCAGTATTTAAGGAAAATACAACTGTGATATTATAATATCAAAGTTTGTGATGGAGTATACATGCATTAAGTGGAATATTCCAAAACTGTTCCTTTACTGAAAGTTTACAGATAGTTTTTCTCCTGAAAAAAGCATTTTCTGATCTCTGGATTACATTATCTGGATTAAAGATAACAATGTTAGTTGCATTCAAAATCCTGCTAGCTCTGACAAAAGGGAAATGGCCAATCTTTGAAATGAAAAGACATACAGGAAATGGCTCACAATGGAATTTAATGGAACACATTGGAAAATGAATGCAAAAGTGAAGGTCACTACAAGTTGCTCTCTGTTTTAGAATATTTTAGCTGTGAGGTAAAGAAAAATCTGGATGCTGGAGGAAGCGCAAAAGAGAGACATGGGATAAGCAGTACGAGAAAAGCGCATAGCCAAGAACACTAGGAAAACTCCAAAACGTGACGTGTTCCTTTGTGTATTATTTGAATCAAAAATAGAAGAAAAATGCATTATAATAACATGCCTTGCATCTAGATTAAATAGAATTACCGTATTCATGATGTATTAGAAGAGTGAATAGTTTAAGGGATTTACATTGCTTAGGGTGGGGGTCATGCGGGTTACTTATACAGATAACAGAAAGGCTTTAAAGTTTATATTTTCTATCATTAATGCAGAACTATCCACCTCTAGGTATTCACAGATTACTCTGCATTTTTTTACCACAAGTTACAACAAACACTTTTTTTAAACAAAAAGTATCCTTCCCACTTGACTGTCAAACATCTGCCTCTGCATCTGTATATCTCGCTCCATTAGATGGCCATCTAACTCTCAGAAGTTATGGGACTGATTATTACAATTAACAGAGATTGAGAATGTATCTTTGTGTGAACTTCCTTCAACTGCCAGAACTAGTCTAGGGCTCAGATTACCCAAACACAGCAGTCTTTCAAAGCCCAAAGAGCTGTGCTTCAACATCTTGAGAGAATTTTTAAATAGAGGACAAGCTTCTTACCCTGGCTTTGATGATGGTGGGCCGAGGATCCAGGATACCCTGCATTTTCCTCAGTGCAGGAACAACAAAGAGATTGCAGGTGACAACAGCTGACACAGGGTTGCCTGTAGAACAAAGAACAGTTGGTGGTGACTCCCTCTTGATTTACTCTGTGAATTGCTGAAAGTGATGTTTTTATAGCAATTTCACTCTAAAGAACTCTACAGGGCTTTTCACACTATGTACAGGAAATGTTTCATTCAGGACTGCAGTGGCATGTGGCAAGTAGAGCTGTTGAAAGCTACACTCTGGATGATGGTGTGCTGAAATCCTGCTCTGACCAGAATTGCCCCATATTACTCAGGCCCCACCATTTGCCTCTGTTCTTCCATGGCCTTTGTCCTATGCCTGGATTTGTCTGGGGCTGGGGCAGGGTTTATTGTGCATAGGTATTGGTTCTATTTCACAGAGTCTTGATGCATGACTAATGGTTCCCAGACACATGAAAAAATTTCAATTTCCTAACAGAGTGGAAAAATGGTATAAATACAAATTCTGAGGAGAATTCTACTGATTTATATGTTTTCTGTTGACTCACAACAGAGGTTTATGACCATCTGTCAAACACCACTGTCTTACACATCTGGACCTCCCTAGATGACAGTTTAAAAGTAAATACTATGATTAAACAGAGGCTCCATTGATCTCTCCCTTGTAAAAAAATGTACTACAGCAACTAAAGCAAGAGAGGGTAAAACCACTAGAGATACATCTGAAAACCACCAGCTTATCAAGAACATGACTGTGTATTTCTGTGTCAAAATTTGTGGAAAACCAGAGAGATACGAATAAAATAAATTCCTCCTGATCTAGGAAGGCAGGGATCCTTAAGTAAATGTTTACTCTGAATAGATGCTTTCCCAGGGCAGGCATTGGCTAGTGGTGCAGCTGTGCTGCCCTCTTTTGGTTCCACAGTAGGAGCATGATAAACAAAAATATTCTGTAACATGTTCCTTGGCACTCCCTCATTTTTGTCTCCATTTTCAGTACATCAGAATGGATGCAATGACTTACACACACACAGAGGATATTTACTGCAAAGGTGAAGGAAGCTAGAGGAGAAAAACGCCCTTATAAAAAAACCCAAGGAAATTGTTGGATGGAAGAAATAAGACCTGTACACCAGCAAATTCTGAGGACAGGAATAAAAGAGAACTCCTTAGTACATTCCTGTAAGTCCATTTCTTCTGGAAATGTCTGAGAAAATCTTACAAGTACCTTCCTTAGGGATGCCAACACCAGGCACAGGTACTGTGTGATGTCACTATTCTGTTTCATGTCTGTCATCTCTGCACAGCAACAAAAGTAATCCAGAAAACATCTTACCTGGGAGCGCAAAGATTATTTTTCTTACGCCATCAATATCCAGAGTTGCAAAAGTTGTTGGCAAGCTATGGAAAAGGAAAGTTATTTAATATCTGCATTAGACTTTGACTTAACATTATTATATAATTTAAAGCATTTGGAAAAGAAAACAAAACAGAATATCTCTTTCTCAGCAGTTCACTAGCACCTTATGCTTATTCCACACTGGAGGTATAATCCTCTCTTTGTAGTGACAGAACAATTAGTTTTTCTTGGTATTCAGCTATGAAGTTTTAAGTAGATGAGTTTGCTTCTGGAGAGGAAACATCTAAAAGGAGATGAACTAGTAATCGAAAACCTAATTGCATTGTCTTCATGCTAGAAGCCAATCAATAAAGAAGTAATACTGAAATTATGCAATTACAGAGCTGTGTTTGTTTTTCATACAAGGGTCTCCAAATTTTTATAACATTAGTGACTCCAATTCTCTTACTCCAGTCTCTACAGCAGTAGTGACAATAGAACAGTATTTCTGACAGCAAATGCTAGCTAGTCTGCAGATGAACAAATTCAGATCCACAGCCAGAACTGCAGCCAGGTAAGACCCAGGTCTATCAGTGAAGAGCTTTGTTTGCCTTTCAGAGCTGCTCCCGAGTCATCTTTAGCATGTCGTTATGAAGGCTATTACAGTTATACAAATAGAAGAGTAATGTTGGCTCAAGAATGTGGCTGGTAAAGAAAAGGGACTCATCATGAAAATAGAATTCTACACACCTGTGTTAATAAAATCATTTTAAACATTAGAAATGATACCTTACAGGAGCAATAATTAGGCTGGGTTCCTTGGCTTCATCTTGAGCCGACCACTTTCACCTGGTCAGCAGATAATAGTCGATGACCAGAAGCAACTTTGGAGATTTGCCACACTTTGGTCATTACCAACTAGTTTTGCATGTGCTAAGACTGATCAATATCCTATTTTACCAGGGGAAGTTAATGTTTGATGTTTCTTTTTCAAAATGTTTCTAACACGATGGGAACCAGATCGGTGGTCTGGTATCAGACCGCCAACTCTTATAACCAGTGCACAAACCAAGGTACAAAAAATCTAATCGCTAATTCATATTTACTAGAAACTCTGAATTCTCATATGAGATTTCAACACCATCATTGGTAAAGTCTTCCAGTACTTTCTTCTAGCAGTGCTGCTAGGCAAGACATAACTTTACATGAGCTCAGCAACTTTCAGATCAAGTGGATGGATGGTAAATCCCAGGCCCTACTCCACATTCATGTAGCACATCAAAATATAGGCATACAACAAATTCTGACTTTGCTCTTGGAACTTACTTAAGGGATTTTTTCCCAACTCACAACTCATATCTAAGGTCTTTTATGACACAGTTAATAAAACCCAAGACACAGTATTTGCTATTGCACTACCTACAATGAAAATGAGAGTGCTTAGATTAAGAACTGATGATGAAATGTTTTGGTAGCAGTAAAAAATATCTTTCTTGTGGCATAAAATGAAAATGAATATTTGGGGGAAAAAAGATTTCTTGAAGGTTTTTTAGCTAGTTATTAAAAGTTTATTGCTACAAGGCTACAGAGGGTTCACTAGAAGAAAGAATTATGCTCGCTTTCAGATAAGCCAGAACTAGAATTTAGTATTTTGAATTCTCTAAATTGAGTTATCCATTCCTGTCAGCAGCAGAGGCTGGAGTGCAGATCTCAGTTCAGGGACTTCGCTACACCAATTGTAGGAGTATGACAGAAGCAGTGAGCAATTTCCATGCCTGGGCTACATCCACCATGGGAAGAAACACTTCCAGCTCACTCATTCCTGTTATGGAAGGGAGATGGTGGCAGCAGCAGCACAAGCACCAAGCCCACATGCAGTTCTTTACTGGATTGTATGCAAAGGCACTAAAAGTATTTATCTGTTTTCATAGCAAACACTCACTTTCAGTTCTGCTCCCTGGCAACAGTTATGGACTAGAGGGAATCATTTCTCAAAGCTGTGCTTGGTCTTGCATTGCTGGACCATGCCAACCTAGCTTGCAAACAAACTGCACTCCAAAGCGAGTGAGGTAGAGCTGCAGACATCTTTTCACTACTGCACTGTGAAAGGAAACTATTTTCAATATATGTAGTTTTCATTTCCTCTATAAAGCAGACTCATTAATGAGCATTACTACGGCAAAGGAAAGCAATGCTGAAACAGTTTCCTGAGGTGAACTAAACACATAAAGGATTGTGCTCACTTTAAAATTACTATGCTCAATATGCCAATTAGACAAAGCTTTGTAAATTAGCTGTCATTCCACCTCTCTCAAGGAATTGCTTGTTTGTAGGAAGATAATTTACACAAATTTTGAAGCGAAATAAGATACTCTTTAAGTAAACTAGCAGTTTAATGTCCTTATATTTCCTGGCTATCTCATAACAACGTCAGTGTGAGTTCTGTGATCACACTGAAGACTGTGGCAATGTTTATACCATGCTGGTATACCACTAATCCCCAAACCTGACTTGCAACAGTTATCAGAGAAGTATCTCTTACTGATAAAAAGTAATTTCTTTGTTCCAGTTAATTTCACCCGTAAAGATGATAACTAATCTGAATAGCACTGATTTTGCTTATTTTTCCATATATATCTATTCTGTGGTTTTTTTAGTATATCTGGAAAACTGAAATCTACTGAAGCACTTCATTAGGATATTTGGCCCAATATAGCCTCCATTTAGGCTGCCTAAACAAAAAGATTTCTTACCCTGGTTTCATAAAAACTCTGCCAAAGTGAATCTGTGCGTGAAGATCAATATCCAGTACCTGTTTAAGATAGTCCTGTTTAAATTAAAAAAAAAAATCAATTAAGTAACATCAAAGTGGCTTTACATCATCTAAGCATTCGAAGCAATTAATTAATATCAAGTGAAGATGAAAGACTTTCCATATCCTCAAAGGGCTACAGTTGAGTGGGGAATTTCCACTATTTGAAAGCAAGTGTTTTCAAAAAGAAGAGGTAAAGTATAGACTCATTTTAGGTGCCAAACCAGACTCCACAAGGACACAGTAACGTATTTACTTAAAAGTCACCTGCAACATCAGAATCTTAGAGGACCCCACAAATACCTAAAACATTTTCTAAGTCAAAGATGGAAAAAAACCTTTATGGTTCAAAATTAAGACTTAAAATCATCAAGTTATTTAACTTTTGCCATGGAACCTATTTAGCAGTAGATTCAGAGATGTCCTAGTACTTTTGAAATCAGTACTTTACTGTACTGTAGAAATCATAGTTTTCCAGGATACTGTAATTATTGTAATTTTCTGGGGACATGGTATAATTCACGGTGGTTGTATTTAACATTCCTTAGAAAGGAAAAGCTGTGGGTGACTTGTATGTGAGTTAAGTTAAATGATTTTGCATAAACACAATTGATCCAGTTATTAAAACAAAGTGAATTACTTGTTTACTCTTTATTGAGAATTGCTGTGCTTAAAGATGTAGTACCCTATCTGTTGTGTTTAGTGAGGTTAAAGATGCAGACTGTAACAGTCATCTGTTTTCCCACCTCTTTTTTTTTCTTGATGTGTGTGTGTTTAAATACTTGGAAAGCAGCATTTCATTTCAGCCAGGCATGAATTCTCAATTATTGATTGCATTAACCCCATTTTTATTTTCTATTTACTTTTTGGATGTTCACAGTTATTTGATTAGAAGTCAGCAGAAACAGAGTAGAAAGCTCAGTATCAGAGGGCAGACCATCAGTGAAATATAGAGCCTATTGACTTTATGCTGTTGTCTCAAATTCAGACTGGGGAGAAATCAGTCAGAAGGCATGAATGTCTGTAAGACCATTCAGCGGTCCAGTCACGTCCTAGTGTTCCTTTCTCTGCACTATGTCACTACATTCCCAGTTTAAAGATTAGCACTTGTCCTTGGCTATTTTTCTAAAAATACTGAAAACAACTGGAGTAATTGAAAGTGGTTGGCACTGGTTTAACTAATTACCCATTTTCATGATATATCCAACAATAACATTTCTACTAAAAAAAGTGACAAAACCTCATGTTTGCCATCTCCTAATGACCGTCTTTAGTATTTGTTAGTTATAAAAGGAGAGATGTTTCTTTTACCTGCCAAACTCACAGATTCAGCCTGGGACCAAAAAGGAATCTGAGTCTTCCTTCACATAAATCATGATTAATAAGTGTCCTGAAGGTTCATCTATGCCCCACTAGCATCTGTGTATCCCTATTTTCTTTGATGGTTTTGGCACAGGGATTACCAACAGGAATTCAATCAACAATTATGTTAATGATTCAAAAAGTAAATACATCAACTCACTAGGTCTCATATGTATTGCCTCTGTAGGACTATCAGGTGCAAAATGTGCTAAAACTATTTTTGTAACAGATAGAGCTTTGGCATATTCAGGAAACAGATGTGCTGAGTAAAAAAAAGCTTTTTATATACTCAGGTTGCTTTTCCAAGTACTTTTAAAGTATCTTAATTCAATCTACATTTTACCTACTCTAAGAACAAAAAGAAGTCTGTTGCCTGCATGTGCTATTAACCAAGCACCTTCCTCATCAAAACTACACAAATCATTCCTTAAATAAAAACACATTTGTAAATCACATTAAGAATTAAAATCTCCTCTGTTGTACTGTGTCTACTATAGTACAGTAACAAGAACAAAGGGAACACGGATAGCATTGAAGACTATTTTCTTAATTAATTCACATATAAGTGGTCCAAGAAAAGGAGGATCCCTTTTTAATAAACATTAATACAAAGGTAGTAGCTCTGACGACAGACTCTGGCTTGAAATTCTTACATATACTGTAGCAAGTCATACTTAAATTTAGCATACCTTTTCCCCCATAGATACACCTCCTGATGTAATGATCACATCAGCACGGCTGATACCCTCATTCAGTGCATTCAGTAAATCATCTGGGCTACAGAAAAGAACAGGCAATCAGATTAGTGGCATGGAACTATTATGAGCTGTAATGTAAATGAGTGTCTGTGTGCGCACATATAGATGCATTTATACACGTGTCTTAGGAAAGAGATACTGGCTCTAGAATAATACAAGATATTTTCTTTCTTAAGGCTCCACACTGTTCAACTGAAGTTAAGAACTGCAATCTCATTCAGTGAACACCACACTGTTTGGCACCTTTTTGTCTAAGAGCTTTGCAACAGGAACAGTGGGATACTTTAGATCAGGACTGAAGAGTGCTAATACAAGTGTCTAGGAGTATTCAATTGGCACAGTAGGTAGCAATACAAATGATGATTTAGATGAACTGACAGGGCTATATAAAGGGACGTGACACATGAAAATTACTGGCCACCAAGCAGCCTGCAGTACTACCTGTCTAGCTTACTTGATATGTGCAAAAATGGGGGAAGGCTCCACTTCAAACTTCTACCAGCAAAAGAGTGGGAGTAAGTCCTTTGTTTATCTTCTCCATTAGAGGGCTGTGCAGCAAATCCAAGTGTACATTCACTTCATCTTGAAAAAGCACAATCCATCCTGCTCAGGAATCTATTCACCTTCATGAAAAACAGTGTAAGGGGAGCTATGATGTTCCTCCGTACAAAGAGTATAACTATGAAGGTGAAGGATGTTGGTGTCCTAACTCTTTTCTTTCTATTTTAGATCTAAACGGGAAACTTTGAAGCGGGAATTAGATATCTAAGAGCAGTACTGATGCTAATACAGGGGTTCAAGGCATGCAGTGGAGAAACTCAGTAATACAAGTCACACAAGGCCAAAGGAATCCAAAGGAATTTCCATTATATTAAATGCATACTTTGCATTTAACATTTGTGAATGATCAGAAGTTGACCAATTGCTACAACTGCATGTAATGTTTCTTCAACAGTATGTTTTCACTTCAATGATCCTGAAAATTTTTCATGAGAGGCTGTTCCTACTTAGAATGCAATTGAAAGAATGGGCAGTAATGCTAGCGACTGTATGAAGGACTTCACCTGGAATACAGCATCTCAGGTAAATAGCACACTACAATTACAAAATGCCATTATGGATTATCAAGGCTTTGCAGGCTGAAAATAGCATGTGGGCTATCCTTCTAGAACTTTGTCTATATTTCATTAAAAGTAGAACCACTGCAGTTGTTTTGGAGTTTGAGCTCAAAATAGTAAAACTAGAAATGTTATGCAAGTCCTAGTTGACCTTTCACAGACTAGCAGAAATTGTATGTTTCAAAAGGTCTCAGAAAGCAAAATTCTTTCTTCTGAGCATCCTTTCTTTGCCCATGGTTTAGTGAAATATAAGCAGCAGTTAGCATGACATGGTGCTCTCTGCACTACAGTTTATGTGACACAAGAATGACTGCACTCCCTCACTGAGAAGATATCTCAAGTGCATGCAACCCTGCACACTCCTCATCTTCTCACCAGAGAGCCCTCAGGTGTCCTCTACCCTGGTTATGCCTTACAGGCAGAAAGACTCAAGACCCTTTTCCCACTATGTCCAGTGACTGAAGCAGTATCCTCTTTGGCATGACACTGTGGTTATCCTGCAAACCATTATTATTTGTGCTGGGTTACATCCACTCTTTAGGGTCGTATTGCTTTGTAAGAGGCAGGCAACAAGCAACAGCAGAAAGAAGAGCAGATTGCTGGTGCTACAGACTGTTATCAATAAGATAGAAATATACACTACCCCTTTTTTAAAGAGAACAGTGGCTGCAAATATTGTGGCATGCCATCATGACTTTTGTTTAGGGTACTGGGTATCTTGGATACTTTTAATGGCCTATAATGAATGGCTAAACTATGTTTTCTTTGGGAGAAAACATAAAACATACAGACTCAAGCAAAACCATCTCCTTTATTCTTTAGGAAACAAAGACACTTTATCAGCTGCCCCTTCTGAAATCTTAAGATTATTGTCTCCAAAATGCAGCACAAGTTACTGAAGGAAAGCAGAAAGAAGCAAGTCTGCTGTTGGCTACTGTCAGTATTTTCTTCAGAACCAGTCTTTCATGTCGATTGTCTAAGTATTATCTGTATGTAATAAGATATTGTTTAAGAATATTATGGAGTTTGTAATAGGAAGTCTCTCAAGGTCTAAGTATTCCTTAATTCTTGCCAATGAGAGTGCAGATTGGAATGCAGCAAGGAATACATATTCATTGCACATACTGGCATTTCTTAAGCTCAACAGTCAGAGACTAATGCCACTATTACAAGCCTAAGACTACTTTCAGTACATTTAACTTATTAGGTGGTGATGGAGTTGAGGACCTTGTCTGGAGCTTGCCCCAGGCTGGCTCTTTCATTTTATCTTGTTAAATTATTTCGAAGTTATTCATAGGTAGCAAGACCACCTGTCTGTGGACATGCTAATTCTGGATTATGAAGTGTGCTTGCTTTTCACTGTGGTTTGAGAATAATAGAAGGAAAGTAAAAAGCAAACAAGTATATATTTAACTGTTGTTAAAGTTAAATAGAATGGAAGTGCTGCTACTTACATCCTGAACTTATCTATGTGTTTGTATATTATAAAATTACTTAACAAAGAAAAAAAAAATTAAATTTCCCCCCTCCCAAAATAAGCCCAAACTCAAACCATGTGAGGACCCCTATTCTCACCTTTCTTTATGAGGGTAGCATATCACTGGATTAGGTCATCATTCAGTTTTTTATTACATCATGTAAAAAGTTGAATATTACTGGACTTGGTGCATTTTTTAGCATTTCCAGTAAATGATCTGTATAATATACCCTTTTCTTTACCGTCTGTATAATGCAAGACATTTAAAAATTCTACCCCTAAAACTTTATCCAACTAATAGCACTGCATATCATTTTTAGATAGTTGCAAAATGCATTTAATTCCTCCAAAACGAAAGATGTGATAGAAATTTTGTTGTAATGAACTGAATTATGTTAGTTTGATTTTTATTCTGAAGAAAGGAGACATTTACAGAATTCCCTCCCTTGTATTTGTTCTTTTTACAGCCTTTTTTTGGCAGCCTCCTTTTTGACACTCAGGCCTGCCTGACTTTATGAGGTACTTCAGGCTGGTAGTTTCACAACTCTGCAATTAGCACTAAGCACTCCTTATAGGAGTCACCTGTTGTAATCTTCAATCAACACTGTAGTAAACATTTTCCTTTCCTTCAGTGGATTTAATGCAGACAGTTATTGCTCAAATTGCATATTAACACTAATTTGATATAATCAGATAACAAGATACTATTTGTTTCATTTGTTGTGTAACAGTGAGTAGCTTCTCCTTTGGATTGACATGGAAAGGGAATAAATAATTAAAAACAATAAAATTCTGAAAGAATAGACAAGATAACTTTGGCATCTGAGCATAACAAAACATGATAGTTCTAAACGGCATGTGACAATTCACCATGAAGCTGAAAAATAACACTCAGTGTCTGAGCAGGTACAAATCAGAAGCTGTATTCTGAAGCCCTAGCCATTACTAGGGGCAGGATACTGGATTAGCTAGACTAATGGTCTAATTTACCATGATAAATCCTTTAAAATGTCTTGTCAAAGTGCTATTCTTGGATTTTTTTTCTTCATGGACAGAACTGTAATAAATGCTCAAATATAATGGTAAATACTTTAATCAATATAAAGTAGATTTTGATGGGAAGTCTCATTTCCAGATGGGAAAACTATTCTGTTTCATTTGGTGATTTTCAAAGTCAGAGTGACATTGTGCACAAAAAGGAAGTGTGCTTTTTTAACATGCTGCAACTTTAAAAAAGTTATACTCTCTATGTTTCAGATCACATTTGAGCATCTTCTGTAAATACCTCGAAGAAAATTTGTTCTATAAGGGCTGCATAGAGTTTATGAAACTATTTATATAGATAAATAAGGACAAATCCAAACTTTCTCTAAACATCTAGAGCAGATTGTGTCTGCAGAAATACTATGTGTACTGTGCCTACCATTTTTAAACTGCAGACATAGTAATTTGTATAAAGAGTGCATGTATTTTTAAGTATATCTTTATATTCTCTGCTAATTTTGCTAGTTTCATAAACAGAGTATCTACTTTGCTATCACAATTTCCTGACCCTCTTTGTTCAGTTTCATGGAACAGAATGAGCATTACAATCTGGAAATTAGCTGGAAGGTAACTTGTATAATGGCAGCAGCATGCATCCAGTAAGCAGATGCATGACATTGCAGTTGACATGCCACTTGATTTCATTAATTTCAAGAGGGGACTTGCAGGATGGCAATATAGCAGAACAGGGACACCTTATGGATTCATAAAAAATTCTGATTATCAAAGCTAGTTTGTGGAAAACTTATGCAACATTTGATTACTGAGCCTTTGAACTGAAAAGATACACAGGAAAGCTTAAGAGCTTGAACAAGAAAATAATGCAAGCCTCATTAAAATAGACATTAGCCATGTAGATTTTTTCCTTTTCACTCTGGAAAGAAATAGCTACGTTAGAGTCAAGACCAAAGAATCCTCTATTTCTTAAGTGCCATTTTGAAGTACCCTGAATTACAGTGTAATTTTCTCTTTCAAATAGAAATCAACATCTGTTAATTTACTTTAGTTGATCTTATTGTTATGCTTCACTGTCATTAATTATAAATCTGTCAGCTTTTCCGGTGATACAACCCTTCACAGCAGAAGTTTGATACATGAAATTAAACTTCTCAGTTTTAAAATTTAATTTAGTAAACAAATAACAGCAAATGGTGTTCTGCATCACCTACTACTCTGGAATAAAATGAGTGATCCCTGTTAAAACTGAACTGCAACCTTTAGTTAGGACTGACCTATCAAGCCATTTTCACAGTACAAAATCCATAGTTCATTACTAATTTCCAGGACCATTTCCATTGTGTTCTTTGCCATAGTAGTCTCATTCATTCAAATTAACCTCATTACCTGACAGTCATTTCCAGTCCTTGCTGTCCATTGTCA